GAAAATTCCAAATAAATGTTTCTCATAGAGATTGTAGCAAAGACTGTTGCATGCATGCATACAAACACACGTGCGCGCGTGCACACACGCACGCACACGAGTACAGTTTTTCCTCCCCTCTTCTTTCTTCCTTAAGAATGGAACCCTAATTTTTGTCAAGGACCTCTGGAAAGGTGCTTAATAGAGAGCAGGCTCAGCTTAGAGGTTCACTGTTTTTTCTATCTCCTCTTCTAGTTGGAACGCACACAATAGCTGGAGACCAAGCGGCCACCTTGGACCTTGAAGTAGCCCTAAGCATGAGAGCCAGTGCTGGGATGGTGGGACAGAAAGATGGAAAGAGCCCAGGCGCATGATAATAGTGAAGTGGCCACACTAGTCCTGGACTGCCTTTCCCAGACTTCTTCTGCATGAGAGAGAAGCCTCTATCTTGTTTAAGCCACTGCCACTTGGGAGTTTCTTAGTGGAACATAATCCTGAGTGACTACTAGGTAAAGCACCAAGAGAGAACAGGTTGCCCCACAGATGTTTAAACATTTCCTGACTTGGAACTAAGTGTTGAAACAGAAGTGGATGGTCCAATGTTTACAAAAAGGAGCCAAATACACATTGCTCTTAAGTCTCTGGGATGGAGCTTTCTCATTACATGATACATCCATTACGTAATACACCCAGCTTTCTCATTATATGATCTAGGACCCTGGAGAACAAGTCAGAGAACTAGTCCTCTACCATTAAGAAAACTCTGGAGAAAGAACTGTCCCTAGTGCTGCATGAATTTGTGCCAACCAAGGATCCAGGCTCTTCCAGAGGTTAAGCAGCAGTCATTGAAGTGGGCTGAAGGCACGGGCTTCAACTCCACTCAGCACTCCTCCAAAAATCCACCACCCTCATCAATCCACACCCTCCAAATGCTGCCAGGTTTGGCTACACTGTACCCTACCTTTGGGGTCTGCGGGGCAAACTCCTCCTGTGAAAATGCCTGTTTAATCTCAGGAGCTGGTCTTCCTCTGTGTGTTGTCATGCAGACTAGCACTCCTCAGATTTTAACTTGCCCACGAACTCTCCCAGATATTGTACGAATATCGGTTGCTGAAATCTGGGTGGGGTGCCTGAGCTTCTTTCTAATAAGCCCCCTGGTGAGGCCAAGGACACTAATCTGTGCACCATACTAGCAGTGTACATGGATGTAGTCTCACTTCCTAGAATTTCCTAGCCTGTGCTTCCCCCGTTCCCACCCAACCTGACTCTCCCAAATTTACCCTTCTCCCTCATCGACTGCCCTGACATACTCTATTGATGGATATCAAACTAGGCATTAGACTGGTCAAGTCGGGCCACTGGTCCTGTAATGGCCTTTCACATCTCTTCTGAATATGGAAAACCGGAAGAAAGCTCTGCTCACCTGGAACCACACTGTCTGGAGCATGGCTGGTGACACCCGGCTTCATGCACTGCCCGCACCCCGCCCCACCCCGCCCCCTGCTGCAAAAGCAAGAGCCTGAAGAGCTGAGAGAAACGATGTGAGACAGACCCTGTCTCGTCTCCCACACTCACCGCCTCTTCTTCAGTCTCTCAGCCACTTTCATTGGAAACATATTTCTAGGACACTCTTGATGTCTCAATGCACACTCTAGTAATTCAAGGGGTGCTGCAGCTGCTCCCTTCGTACAAGCTACAACTTTGCCTGTGGGATGGAAATCCCTAGAAGGAACATCTGTGGAGTACGAGTCAAGAACTGCAGTGGCTTCGTGGCCTTTAAGAAAATCCCTGGTCCACTATGAACACATTACTAAGCCATTTGCACTGAATGCATCTAGTGATCACCGCAAAGGCCTAGTGCAAGTTTCTGGAGACAAAGTAGGGTAACGGGTGTTCCTGGACCAACCACCAACGAAATGCAAGTGGTGTTCTGGCCCCAAGGGGAAAGGGTAAGATGCTCGTCCAGTGGGCGATACTGACGACCCGACAGGGACTTGAGCACTCTAGCCTGGGAAGCGGGCGACCCTCATCACCAGCTCACTCTGGGTACCGTGAGGCAGAGGATGTCAGGCTGGAAAGTCAATCTGCTTCTGCCAGCAGGAGGCTGGGCCTGGGTTCTGGGTGCCACGTGGGCTCCTCCGCAGCATCTGCCACCCAATGCCCAAGCTCCAGGTCAGCCAGGGCCAGGCCACCTTGGGGGAGCAGGGCCACCACTACCAGCTGCCCACCCCAGAGCCCGCAGCCCGGAGGAAAGAGGAGCGGAGGGTGCTCTCAGCACCTCTCTAGGAAGCCCGGAGGCTGGCAATTTCTCCATGGTTCCCTCAAGCCAGACCCCCAAGGATAGCTGGCTCTTCTCAATCTTCCTCTATGGCTTAGCTACCCAAGTTTGACGATCAGTTCAAGATCTGAGATTCCACATCATACTTCTTGTGATGCTCTGAATCCTGGCTCCCATGCTTAGCAGCAGTAACTTGACCATCTAACAAATTACAGCCCCAGTCTCCAGCTTAATGGCTAATTGACTGGACTGTGACCTAAGATCATGAAGTCTGGGGTCTGTCTGGGTTCAAATTCGGACTCCACCATTTACCACTGAGTGCCCTTGCGCAAGTAAAACTCTGTGCCTTGATTTCTGAGTTGAGAATGGTAATAGGCTCCAACTCATTCAATGGATTAACTGTCAGTCAATTCATGTAAGACACTGCATATTCTGGTTCTGTACTCTAAGTCAAAATAGTGCTAGTTCTGTCATTGCTGGCATTATTATAGTCATGCACCACTTAAGGATGAAGATACATTCCGAGGAATGGAAAGCCTTGTAGGCCATTCTGTGGCCGTGTGAACATCAGAGTGCACTTACACAAACCTAGATGGTCTCGTCTACCACACATCCAGGCTCTAGGGTAGCGCCTTTTGCTCCTAGGCTACGAATCTGTCCAGCATGTTTTTGCACTGAATACTGTAGGCAATTGTAACACAGTGGTATTTACGTATTTAAACATATCTGAACATAGAGAAGATACAGTAAAAATGTATAAACGATAAGTACACCTGTACAGGGCGCTTACCATGAATGGAGCTTGCAGGACTGGGAAGTTCTCTGGGTGAGTCAGTTGAGTGTGAATGCCTGGGATGTTACTGTATACTACTGTAGACTTTATAAAGACTGTGCACTTAAGCTACACTAAATTTATAAAATGCAAGAGTGAATCAAGCATGAGAAAATGCAATCAAGAGATTCAGTAAAACCAAGGTGTACAAAGCTACTTCCAGCTGATCATGAAATAGTTTTACAGCGAACTTTTTTCCTAACTAGAAAGAATACTGTAAAATAAAAAGTATAGCATAGTAAATACATATATAGTCAATATCATTTATCAAGTGTTACGTACTGTACATAATTACATGTGCTACACTTTCATGACTGGCACCTTAGATTTACACCAGCATCACCACAAACATGTGATGTGTTGAGCTATGTTAGGGCAACTAGGATTATCACTAGGTGAGGAATTTCTCAGCTCCATTGTCATCTTACGGATCAGTCACACATATGGTCTGTTGTTGACTAGGACGTGGCACAACTGTATTCCTGTGTACGTTGCCACTCTCTTTTAACACATTTGTATCTTTCTCCAAACCAGATCTAATAATCATGGCAATAGTGCTGCTCTTTGGCCAGGCATCATGCTGATAGCTTTGAGCTAGACCTGTGTATCAACCTGCCTGTTCATTTCTACTTGGCTATTCCACAAGTTCCTAAAACTCAAAACATTCCAGACTAATCTCATCACCTTTCCCTTTCTGTTCTTCCTGTTCACAGATGAATGGCTTAGTTGGCTGAACAAAGAACCCAACAAACTCTGGTTCCTGTCCCTGCATTTCTCAACAGTACCTAGTCCAGAGGTGAGAGCAAGGGCACTAGAGACCCTTAAAGTTCTCTTTTCATATGGTAATGACTGGTGGCTGGGCACTCCTAAGATGGGAGATGGCCACAGGAACCAACTATGGGATTGGAACTTTCACCATGACCCCTGCAGAGGGGCTGGAGACTGAGCTAACCAATGGCCAGTGACTTAATCAACTGTGCCTACATTGAGCACCCCCCCACCCTGCCGAAGTCCCCCCCCCAAAAAAATATTCCTAAAGAGTTAAGGCATTCAGAGAGCTTCCAGGTTAGTGAACAAGTCTGGGACTTGCAAATGCCATTCAAAGTGGGGGGAGACCCCTTAGCCTGTAGGGTCTGATGCTAATTCTAGGCAGTCAAAGTTGGGGGGAAAAAAACCATACATTTGCTGTCAGAAATGATGTAAGAAATAGTTCATACAACAGCAAAATACTTTCAGACAAGTAAGCAAAGTTTATCACTCCTAAATCCTAACTGGAAGAAAAACTAGAGGATGTAGTCAGTGAAAACTAAAGATAATTAATAAATCTAAGAGGAAGAGGTGGGACAGTAGTAGCAGTAAACCAAGAAACCAGTGAGTTCACATTAGGTTTACTATTAAAGCCTACTAAACAATAAACATCACCACTGCCACTTAACTGGTCTAGCCCTCTGTCAAGGTGAGGGATACCGCCAAGCTCGATACCACCTCTAACGTTCCCGTTCCGCCTTGTTCCCTTAAGATTCAGTCCAACAGCAAAATGATCCAAATCTGAGGTTCACTTAACACTTATAAAAAAAAACAATGTCTAACTCCCACATAGCTCTGTATCTAAATGGCTCCCTTGTTCTCTCCAGTCCTCTACATTCCTGAGGTTCACACCGCCTTCTCCTTACACAACCTTTATGATTGTGGCTTAAGAGCCCGAGTTCTCTAGACAATTTCCCACCCCTCACAAGAACAGGTAACTCAAAATTGCCTGTATTTCCTCTACCACAAAAGCTATTACATTATCGTTTACCTATTAATACCACCAAGCAAAAATTAGTTTTGTGTTATCCCAGTGAAGTTCAAGAAACCAGCTTTTACTTGTTTTCCTAGTATATTTTTATAAGAAAATGTACTAAACTCTCATGCATCAAAAGCTGCTAGAATTTTATATAGTCATGTGAAATACATTTGTACAACCCCAGCTCTAGCAACAGACTTTAATCCACGATTTAGATTTGCCAATGTGTCAAAAAGAACCTTTATTTTCTTATGTTCTTATGCTTTCTTGCCAGATGCCTTTGGAGCAGGTGCTTTCTGGGCTGGAGCTTTCGGACCCTTCTGAGCTTTTGGAGGTGCTGCTGCCTTCTGGCCTGCAGCTTTCTGGGCAGGAACCTTCTGGGCTGGAGCCTTCTTGCCTGCAGCCGTCATCTTTTTTGCTGGAACCTTTGCAGCAGCTGCTGCAGCTGTACCTTTAGCAGCAGGTGCTTTTTTGGGAGAAGCTTTCAGGAGAGCTGCCTTTTGAAGCTTCTTAACTTCAAGCTTGATTATTCGGTTCCTCTGAAAAATTTCAGTTTAGTTGTCAAACATGCATACAAAAACTACTCTCTTCATCACATATATAATGGATATGTATAGGAGACAATCCTTATGTCTAAGAACCCTATGAAGTTGACTTTGGCCTACCAAGCTTGGGCAAACAAAATTACCAAACAAGTTTAGGGTTAAAATGTAACAATCCTGTAACATTTTTAAAACTTACCATTTTCTTTGCCTTCATGACTTTGTAACGATCAAAATCTGTCATCTTGGCTTTCTGTTAAAAAATAAAAATAAAAAAATCCCTCTCATATCACCTTCCAACCGTTGAAAAAAAGAGAAGGTCAGAATTCAAAATGACCTTAAGTCATTATTACCTTTTCTCTGGCTTCAATCTTCTTGGCCCATCTTGTGGCTGCCCATTTTGTATTGATATCCGCCTTCTGCCAGGCCTGTCGAACATACTTCTGACGGGCACTAGAAAGAGCCAAGACCAATGGCTAAGAAAATCAGCTTTAAAGCCACACAGATCCAGGGACAGCTTTGTGTCCTCTGAAAAGCACAATTAGTCTTCCCATTTGTTGTACTTCTAGCTCCACTTGTCTCTAGAGAACACATTCCACCTGGCACACTCCAAGTTTTACTTATTTGAATGGTATTCACTAAGCCAAGATGTCTTATAATCTCAAACACAATTTTAATAGAAAATAAAATAATGCAACCCAGCCCAGGTTCAGGATTTAAAAATCACCTCTTATCACGCACAGAACATCATACCAGGGTAGATGTGGAGAAAGCAATTTCCTTTTCATAAAGAATGAGGTGAAGTTAATCCTTAGATCTAATGTTTTTACCTTGTACAAAAATGCTTAAAGATTTGTGATCAATCATCAAATCAAATTATAATCATTTTGAAATTTCTTACAAATATTGAGTATCAAAACCCAGCATGTTTAAAAATAAACTAGTATTTATGTGTTCCACTGCAACCAACCATCAATGAAGTACTACTGATTGCCTCAATTCCTTATAAGCAGCTGGGAAAAGAATCTCTATAGTGGCTGTCATACTGAGATCATGTATGTTACATATTCATAACTGACACATACTAAAAGTTTAATGATAGCTAGTATTGGAAGAGACAAGAGTTACTATTTTTATTTTGAATGTGAAAGTGACTAAAATATCAAAAAGAATTCCTTAGGGAGGTTTTTGTTGGGTAAATCCTAAAAGAAAAGAGTACAAGATAAGATGATGGCAACTCTGGATAAAACCAAAGCCAGAGAGCTACCAGATCACAGAACATTTAAAAAGTAACTAATGCCTATCTACTTCTACACTGTAAATTCTTCTTCTAATTGCTCTCACTCTCAACACTGTTTACTGTATTCTCAAGGGAAAAAAGAGCAAAATAACGAAAAACATTTTCTGAATTAAACTAAACAAACTTTTATAGCATAAACAAAGCTGGGGGAGGGCGTGATGGTCGGTGGACATTTACAACATTTAAAAAGTAACTAATGCCTATCTACTTCTACACTGTAAATTCTTCTTCTAATTGCTCTCACTCTCAACACTGTTTACTGTATTCTCAAGGGAAAAAAGAGCAAAATAACGAAAAACATTTTCTGAATTAAACTAAACAAACTTTTATAGCATAAACAAAGCTGGGGGAGGGCGTGATGGTCGGTGGACAGTTTACCTGTGTGGGAACTTGAGGATGAAATCAGTGAGCTGCATGCATTTGAAAGGCATAGCCTGTCTCCTTACTTGAGTGCAAGGTCCATCAACCAAGGCCTAGAACACATAAATAAGATTAAAATCTCAGCACGAAACTGATCTCAGCATTCAAAATAAAAAGATATTCTCTGTAACATTTGTCCTTTTAGAATCATCAACTCCCTATTTGGATGCTTTTTAAAAATATTAAACTATTAGTAGTGCAGCATATAACCCAATACATAATTTACTTGACGACTTTTGTCTTTAACTCTTATATTTTGAACAAACAATTTTATGTTCATTCAGTCTTTAGTCAACCCTTCAGTTACTCTCGAATACTGATAATAGCAAACGAGGGCCTTCTATGTGCCTGGCTTTGTTCTAAATTTGCTCTGCATATAGTAACTCATTTAAACATCACCAACGATTCACTTATAATTTGTTAGAAGCTCTAGCTAGTTTAAGGGGCAAAAGTAATACTTAAGCCCAGCCAACACAAGTCTGCGCTTGAAATCCCTACTCTGCCTACTTCCTCAATGGTAAAATAAAGCCACCAACCACAGTACTCCTACCTTAGAGGGCCACTAGGAACATTACCATCTATACCGCATACCATCCACTGCTATGTGATGCTGTGACTTTTCTTATACTTACCCTGTTCTGATCAATAACATCTACAATTGCGACCAGCTTTCCGGCATGAGGACCAAAGGAGACATAGGCCACCCGGCCAACCTCCACGAAGCGCCTGAACACCTAAAATGGGAGAGAAAAAGAACGAAGCTAATTAAACGTCTCTAGTTTATAAGGCTTTGCAGCTTAAAGTCAACGTGGCTAAGTACGGCGAAAACGAATGTTAACAGGAAAACGCCCAAGTGCCATGGGACGATTTGGACAAAATCTGCAAAGGCGACGGCGGCAAAACTCCACGCCTAAGTGGACTGCACGCCCCCACCATGGCAGCCCAGCCAGGCCACGGGCTGCTCCAGCCGAGGCTCTGCCGGCGGTGGCGCGCACGCGTAGCCCAGGCACGCCGGGCCATCCACGCGCTCGCAGGCCGCGCGTCCAAAAAGCTCCTAAACTCCGTGATCCGCCCGCTAAGGCATCCTCACCAAGTGCCACCTAAGACCCACTGGGCACCGCTACCTGCCTCCGCTTCCCAGGCCAGACGGTGGTGTTGCTCCACGGCCACCACACCCGGAGCCCGCAACAGGGACACTCACCATGTTGGCGGCGTTCGGCGAGAAGGAAGAAGGCCCGCCCAACAGTGCGCATGTGTAGAAGGCCGCCCCGCCCCTGCGCTAAACGAGATGCCGACGTGGCTACCGATTGGTTAGGATTGGGGTGCGTGCGTACTCACGCATGTGTGCGCAATCTCACGCTTGCTCACTGAAAAACATGGAGGAGCGGACTCGAGTATGGCTGATTTGCCCCGGACGCGAGCTGCATGATTGGCTTCGGTTATTTGGCGCTGGAGATCATCTTTAGGTTGAAAAAGAACGCAGAAACTATGACTCCAGTATAACTCTGTGCGAATTCCATTTGGCTTTTTTTCTAAACATTCTTCCATCCTTTCCACTACTTAGTACTCCAGATTTTTGTCTGTTACTCATAGCTTAGTAGTAGATTTTTTTCTCTCAAGTGACCCCTCAAGTAATTTTGTCAACATTTCATTTTAAAATAATTAAAAAAAAGTTGTAAAACTAGTGTAAGTAATTCCCATAGGCGCTTCTCTTAGGTTCCCCAAATGTTAACATTTTATGTGTACATTCTCATTCTATTATTTTTTCTAAACCATTTGAGGAAATTACAGACATGATGTTCATCTTTAGACACTTAAATGTGTTAGTTCTAAAAACAAGGACATTATTATCAGCTCCATCAAATCAGGAAATTAATACAATATAATCTTATTACTTTGCAGTCGTTATTTAAATGTTAAAAATTGTCCCACTTAACGGATTTTAGAGCAAATGAAAAAAGTTTTCCTTGTTTTTCATAATACATTTTAAAATACAAGCTAGTTTTGTAGAATGTTGTAGGATGTATCTTGATAATTTATTGTAGTTTTCCTCCTGATTACACTGAGATTATTCATTTTTGGTAGAAGTGCTATGCCCTTGATGCATCATATCAGAACACATGCAAGATATCTCTTTGTCCCAATATGGCTGGATTAAGGTGATGATAATTGTGCTGACAATTCCCAAATCTATTTGTTTTTTCCTCTAAGCTCTATGCCAGCATATCTTCCCAGGACTGTTCTAAGCAACCTCCTGAGTGACTTGCTTTTTCAATTGCTCCATTTAATCTATTGTCTGCTTATCAGTCGGAGGGATCTTTTTAAAAAATCAGATCACTTCTTCCTATTTAAAACACTTCAGTGACTTTCTACAGTATTTAGAATAAAATCAAAACAACTTACTCTGGCCTATAGGGCCTTGCATTACATGCTCCTATATCTGAACACATAATATCCCTTGTTCCCCTTCTTCACTGTGCTTTGGCCACACTGGTCTTGAACAGGCCAAACTCCTTCCTGCTCTATGACTTTGTACATGGTACCTCACCTGCCAAGAATGCTCTCCCCTGTGTTTATACTCATTGCATAGCAGTGCCAATACATCTGTAAATTTTTTCCAGATAGCTCTTCTCAGAGTCTTGAGCCTGACTGACACAATTAAGAAAGTAGAAAATAAAATAGGAGAGACTCCTTTTCTAGCTCAGCTTTTTGTTTTCCTCAGAACTGTTATCACAATTGCAATTGTTTGACTCATTTTTCTGTCCACTTAGATTGTAGTTTTGCATCAATTGGAGTAAGTTCCTTGAGGGCAGGACCCTGGCCATCTTCTTGTCTTAGCACAATGCCAGATAAGGGGCTCATTAAGTGCATAGTGAATTAATTAAGTCTTTAGGCCTTGATATCTGCTTTCTAATTTACAAGGCAAAAGACATGAATGAGAAACATTCATAGTAGCACTTTTGTAGTAATAGCCCCAAACGGGAAACTACCCAAAGGCCCATAAACAAAGAATGGATAAACTGTGGAAATCTGTAGCCTAGCATTCAAGGCCATGCACAATCTCACCCCTATGCCTCTGTGGCTACAGGTCTCGCGGCTTTTCATGCAGTTGGGCCCCCTCTTCCCAGAAAGTGCTCCCCACTCCTTCTCCACGGAGAGCGACAGTGCATCCCTGAAGCCTCCCGAGGCTCCTTCCAGCAGCCACAGGCGGTTTTCAGATTTTTTCGAAGCTCCATTACAATGGCAAGTAAGCCTTCTGTACCTCAGGAGGTCGTGGAGGTCCAGGAATTAGCAAAACAATTATTAGCAGCTACTGACAGCAGCAAGCGGACCAAGCACACCCTGAACTCGGCCAGCTACGCCCCTTCCCGGGATGCCCGCCTGTTTCATCCAATCACCGGGAGGAAGGGCAACTCGTGCACTGCGCCAGGATCCAAGGTGGCGTCCTGGACCCGTTCGGTCTTTGGTACGGCTTCCCCGCAGGCCACCCGGTTCGTCCAGTCACCGAAAGGAAAGGTGTGGCCGGGGGTCTCTCTTACGCTTAGTTTTTCGCTGTCCTTCGGGCGACATGTTTTGGGAGCTGTGTCCCCTTGAAGCCACCACCCCCTCCGGAGTTGCTTGTGGCAACAGGTGGATGTAGGGGTCAGGGCGGGTACTCCACTTCGGGTTCCTGCCGTGAGGCACCGTCCCGGGCCTGGCTGGAGGACGCGGGGAAGGGCAGCAGCACGTCCACTTCCCTCAAGCATTTCCGGAGTCTCTGCGGGCGTCAGCGGGGCCGGTGTTGGTCACCTGCTACCAGCTGGACCCGAGTATACCTGTCAGCTTCAGCTGAGTACATGTGTCTCGTGTTCTTTTTCTTTTTCTCACTCATAGGAGATGGAGATGGAGATGTCAGTTTAGCAAACAAAATGCCTGGGACCCGAAAGAGAAAGAAATCTAAGCCTGTTCAAGAAGTAGACCAAAAGCTACCCAGAACCCTGACTTTCTTTTTGGTTTCGTAAATTTGAAAGATATGAACCAATCCTAGTTATGACCAAACTAGCATGGTAGTCCTGTGCTCTCCTACTTGTCATGGTGGACAAGTGCGTGTATATTTAGGAGTGAAAAAAATGCCTGTGCCGTCTGTTTTCAAAATTTGCATCTTAGGAGCCCCGAAGGCGAGCAAGACTGTCCAAGCCCAGTCAACCTAAGGTCACCAGGAATAAATGTAGTCCAACAAAATTAGGTGTGTAGATTCATTGCAGTGAGGGAGACTACACAGCAGAGATACCATGGAGCACTTAGCCAAAGAAGAAAAAGATAGAGTTATAGGATTATGGGGAGATGTAAAGTTGGATGGAATTTAAATGAAATACTGTTTTTGATAGGCTCAGAGCAAAGCAGAACTGTGTAAAGGAGTTAACATCAGGCCTAGCCAGCAAAATGGATCCACAGCCCCGTTTTTTGGGAAATGTCCAGAAACCCCTTTTCTGAAGATTTGTACCTGGGTTATAAATTGAAACTGCTTTTCTATGTTAAAGTAACATAGATCTTCCAGGAGGCAAGAGTGGATGTTTTCTTCTTGCTGATAATAATTTCAAACATCAAAACTTCTGAGAGTTTGATTTTAGAAACAGAGTTTCTCAGTGAGTAAGAAAGCGGTAGTCATTCAAAGAATAGGGTTATCATGATACTTTACAGATGCCGTATGTTGTTAGCAGAAATATTGTTCCCTGTTAACTTCATTTCTATCTATTTTTCCCACCTGTTGAATGGCCATGCAGACTTTACTTTCTCAATCAAGCTTGTACCTGGTCCCAAGCACTCTGCAGTTACTGGAGAATGAGTCTGAGGTAGGACTGTATGACACATTTAAGGAAGCAATTGCCTACCTGGACAGGTGTACAGCAGAGCTGCAGAGGTGAATGGCTGAGTGGATGGATGTTCCCAGGTAAGAGCAGTCAAATAATATCCTTGCTGCCCTGCAGCACTTGAACTTCATCTCCTACCTCAGTGTTAATACAATTCTTTCCATCCTGGCCCCTATCCTGGCCACTGTGCCTATCCATGTCTCACCTGGAGGGTGGAGAGAATCAGAACCTGACAGAGGCAGGGAGCAAAGGCTTTCCTGGGCCGGCTCTGACATGTGTCCCTCAGGACATCTGATATGCATCAGGTTTTGGATGACTTTGACCCATACACATATTGACAGTGGCTGGAATGCTCTCTGAGTTGCTCAGCTTGTATACTGGCCCTTGGAACTTACTCCAGGGCAAATGTGTCTGCTGAACATGTTTTTGAGTTTTGGTCTCTGTTTTATATGATTATTTTAAAAGGCTTTCAATGGAGCTTGTACTTGTACTAGGGGAAGTAGATCCTGTGAACCTTTAATGCAGTGAGAAGAGGTGGATGCGGGGAAGGGTGTGACTGCTAACGGGTATGGATTTGCCTTCCGGGTTAATAAAATGTTTTAAAATTGAGTGTGGTGGCACAACTCTGAGAATATATTAAAAGCCACTAAATTGTATGCTTTCAATGGGGGAATTATATTGTATGTGAATTATATCTCAATAAAGCTGTTAAAAATTTTTTTTTAATGTGCAGAGTTCTGACCTTTTGAGATTTGGTGTTAATGTCTGAAAAATAGTGAATGTGTCTTTGTGTGAGCAGCGGTGGGGTTGGAGAGTACATGCGTGCACATGCGTGTGCACTCGCCCACGTGTTTGTAGTATGAGCATCTGGGTGGTACAGAAGTATCAGGGCGTGGTGTGTAGGAGGGGCTCAGGTGTGTGTGATATGAGTAGAAGGATAGCCGGGAAGGTGTGGTGTGTGGGGGGAGCAAACATGGCTTTGTGAATGAGTGCGTATGTGTGTGTATTCTTAAGGGGGCAGATGTGTCTGTGGTGTGTGTCATGTTCTAAAGTGGAACCCAGTTGAGAGTCGCCATGCCTTTTTGCCTCTTCAGCACAAGAACAGATAGCCAGAATTAGTTCTTCCTAAGGATTACAGCCTCCGGGATTAATGGCTTGTTATTTAACCATAATTCTAACACTTCTTTGTTTGTTTGTTTGTTTGTTCCTGTAAGCAGAGGCAATGTATTTTTTGCTGTACATATTTTGCTCAATGAACTGAGGCCAGAGGCCAAGGTAAACAAGCAAAATCAAGACCTTTGACACTTTTCACAACATCAGTAGGCTAGATAATTTATGATAGATCCAGGAACCCAGAAAGTTGACACCAATTTACACTCCCATCAGGAGTGTGAGATGGAGCCCACATCACCCCATAGAGTGTATTTTTATCCCTGACCATGGTTCTGAAAT